GCCTGTTCGGCTCGGCCAGAGGAGAAGGAGGAGGAGGAGGAGGAGGAGGAGGAGGAGGAGGAGGAGGAGGAGGAGGTGAGAGTTGCGAGGATGTCTCAGGCGAAAGTGGCTTGACGGCCCGAGCTCAGGGAATCTCGGAATCGCTGGCCTGGCTCGGCCACTGGCGAGCTCGGCCTGTGCGAATACTGTGCGTACCTGTGCGGGGCATGTGCGGGACGTGCAAGAATGCCGGGGCCGGCGTTCGTCTCCGGGCGCCGGCGCGTTCGCGTCCGGCCGGTTCCGCGTGAGACGTCGTCGGCAATCTGGAGGCCGACATGCTTTGACATGAGGTGATCTGGCCACCTTCGCCTGAGCATCCTCGCAACTCTGGTCTCGGAGATGCCCTGCCCCATGGTGGCCCGGCCACTTTCGCTTGAGACATCCTCGGAACTCTGGGTTTCGAGACGCCCTGAGCTGAGGTGGTTAGACCACTTTCGCCTGAGACATCCTCGCAACTCTGACCTCAGAGATCTCCTGCCCCATGCTGGTCAGGCCACTGTCGCCTGAGACATCCTCGCAAGTCTCGATTCCGATATGCCCCGAGCTGAGGTGGTCAGCCACTGTCGCCTGAGACATCCTCGCAACCCTGATCTCAATGATGCCCTGCTCGATAGTGTCTCGGCCCCTTTCGCCTGAGACATCCTCGGAACTCTGGGTTCCGAGACGCCCTGAGCTGAGGTGGTTAGACCACTTTCGCTTTAGACATCCTCGCCCGAGATGCCCTGAGTTGAGGTGTTCAGGCCACTTTCGCCTGAGACATCCTCGCAACTCTTACCTCAATGATGCCCTGCTCCATAGTGTCTCGGCCTTTCCTGCCTGAGACATCCTCGCAACTCTGGGTTCCGAGACGCCCTGGGCTGAGGTGGTCAGACCACTCTCGCCAGAGACATCCTCGCAATTCTGACCTCAGAGATCTCTTGCCCCATGGTGGTCAGGCCACTTTCGCCTGAGACATCCTCACAACTCAGACCTCGGAGGTGTCCTGCCCCATGGTGGTCTGGTCACCTTGACCAGCGTCATCCTCGCCACTCTGGTTTCCAAGATGCCTTGCCCCATGGTGGTCCGGCCACGCTTGCCTGAGACATCCTCGCAACTCTGGGTTGCGAAATGCCCCGAGCTCAGGTGGTCAGGCCACTATCGCCTGCGACATCTCTGCGGCATGTGCGGGCATGTGCGTCTATGCTTTCAGAGTTTTGCTTGACCGTGCATTCGACTGTGCGTCGGACGGTGTGGCATGTACGCGCATGTGCGGCAATGCTGTTGAGGCTTTTGTATATTTGCATGGGCATGTGCATGCGACTGTGCGGCATGTGCCTGCTTGTGCGGCCCCTTCCGGACCACAATTTCAAAGTGCGCACTATAGAAGTGAGCGCTATAGAAGTGAGTCCGGTGTATTAGTCTTCGCACCGAAGTGGCAGAGGCCCTGGATTGTGGTAGCATCCCGTTCGAGTGCTGATCTTGGTGTGGTCAATCGGTTTTGTGATTTCAAGACGTGCGATCTGGTCGATCTGAGTATCCTGTCCTTCCCCTTGTCGTCTTCTTCCTCCGCGTTTTCGGCCCCCTGCTCGTCCTCCTCACCCTCGAGTCTGCCCTTCCTCGGACTCCTCGTCCAGCTCCCGCTCTACCGGCTCCATCCGTCTGACGTTGTTGTGTGAGCGAGCTTCTCCGCGGGAGGATGGTCATACGATTAGTCTTCTTGAGCGTGTCGATGACGACCGCTTTGCCAAGCTTGTGTGACCGCGGACAAGAATCACCAGGATAGGATGCATTCGTTCTCAGATTAGTCTTTCGCACCGAAGTGGCGGAAGGCCTTGGATGTGGATAGCATCCCGCTCGAGTGCCTGATCTTGGTGTGGGCTTTCGGTTGTGATTCAGACATGCGATCTGGTCGGATCGGAGTCCTCCTGTTCCTCCCCTTGGCGTCTTCTTCCTCCGCGTTTTCGGCCCCCTGCTCGTCCTCCTCACCCTCGAGTCTCCCCTTCCCCGGACTCCTCGTCCAGCTCCCGCTCTACCGGTTCCATCCGTCTGACGTTGTTGTGTGAGCGAGCTTCTCCGCGGGAGGATGGTGATACGATTAGTCTTCTTGAGCGTGTCGATGACGACCGCTTTGCCAAGCTTCTGTGACCGCGGACAAGAATCACCAGGATAGGATGCATTCGTTCTCAGATTAGTCTTTCGCACCGAAGTGGCGGAAGGCCTTGGATGTGGATAGCATCCCGTTCGAGTGCCTGATCTTGGTGTGGGCTTTCGGTTGTTATTCAGACGTGCGATCTGGTCGGATCTGAGTCCTCCTGTTCCTCCCCTTGTCGTCTTTTTCCTCCGCGTTTTCGGCCCCCTGCTCGTCCTCCTCACCCTCTTTTTTCTCCCCTTACCCGAACTCCTCGTCCAGCTCCCGCTCTACCGGCTCCATCCGTCTGACGTTGTTGTGTGAGCGAGCTTCTCCGCGGGAGGATGGTCATACGATTAGTCTTCTTGAGCGTGTCGATGACGACCGCTTTGCCAAGCTTGTGTGACCGCGGACAAGAATCACCAGGATAGGATGCATTCGTTCTCATATTAGTCTTTCGCACCGAACGAGCGGAAAGCCTGGTGTGGAACAGCATCCCGTTCGATGCCTGCTCTTTGTGTGGGCTCTTTCGGTTGTGTGACGACACGTGCGATCTGTCGGATCTGAGTCCTCCTGTTCCTTCCCTTGTCGTCTTCTTCCTCCGCGTTTTCGCCCCCTGCGCGTCCTCCTCACCCTCCCCTATCTCCCCTTCCTCGGACTCCTCGTCCAGCTCCCGCTCTACCGGCTCCATCCGTCTGACGTTGTTGTGTGAGCGAGCTTCCCCGCGGGAGGATGGTCATACGATTAGTCTTCTTGAGCGTGTCGATGACGACCGCTTTGCCAAGCTTGTGTGACCGCGGACAAGAATCACCAGGGTAGGATGCATTCGTTCTCATACTAGCCGGCCGCTCTGCGGTTGATCGGGAGTTTCTGTATATAGAAGAAGGTGCGTGCGCTTGTTGGCGAGGGTGAGGATGAGGTCCTCCTCCTCCTCCTCCTCCTCCTCCTTCTCCTCCTCCTCCTCCTCCTCCATCCTTCTCTTGCCTCCGTCTGTCCTCCTCCACCCCGCAGCTCCATCATCTTCTCCTCCTCCTCCTCCTCCTCCTCCTCCTCCTCCTCCTCCTCCTCCTCCTCCTCCTCCTCCTCCTCCTCCTCATTCCTCCTCTGGGCACCTCCCCCGGGGCGCGGATCCACCGGATCTGTCCGGATCTGTCCGGAAACGGTGCGGAGGCCGCTCTGGGCTCCTCTGGGCACCTCCCCCGGGGCCGGTTTTGTGAGGATGTCTCAAGCGAGGGCGCCGGTTTGGGATTCGTCGGCGTATCCACCGGATCTGTCCGGAAACGGTGCCGGAGGCCGCTCTGGGCTCCTCTGGGCACCTCCCCCGGGGCCGGTTTTGTGAGGATGTCTCAAGCGAGGGCGCCGGTTTGGGATTCGTCACCGGATCCACCGGATCTGTCCGGAAACGGTGCCGGAGGCCGCTCTGGGCTCCTCTGGGCACCTCCCCCGGGGCCGGTTTTGTGAGGATGTCTCAAGCGAGGGCGCCGGTTTGGGATTCGTCACCGGATCCACGGATCTGTCCGGAAACGGTGCCGGAGGCCGCTCTGGGCTCCTCTGGGCACCTCCCCCGGGGCCGGTTTTGTGAGGATGTCTCAAGCGAGGGCGCCGGTTTGGGATTCGTCACCGGATCCACCGGATCTGTCCGGAAACGGTGCCGGAGGCCGCTCTGGGCTCCTCTGGGCACCTCCCCCGGGGCCGGTTTTGTGAGGATGTCTCAAGCGAGGGCGCCGGTTTGGGATTCGTCACCGGATCCAGCGGATCCACCGGATCTGTCCGGAAACGGTGCCGGAGGCCGCTCTGGGCTCCTCTGGGCACCTCCCCCGGGGCCGGTTTTGTGAGGATGTCTAAAGCGAGGGCGCCGGTTTGGGATTCGTCACCGGATCCAGCGGATCCACCGGATCTGTCCGGAAACGGTGCCGGAGGCCGCTCTGGGCTCCTCTGGGCACCTCCCCCGGGGCCGGTTTTGTGAGGATGTCTTACTTGGCGCGCAGATCGGTTATACAGCATATAACATGAGTTGCTGTCCACTTAAGGACTTACACTTCACCCGCATATAATCTGACTTGTAGAACTGCCACAACCTGATGTTGTATGTCGAAGGTTAAGTGGCCTGTTGTGTAACTGTTTTATAACTGCTTCTAACTATTTCTAACTGTTTCTAACTATTTCTAACTGTTTCTAACTATTCCTAACTGTTTCTAACTGTTTTGGGCGTTCTGCGTCGGCGACCGTCTTGGAGGCATTTTGGGCCAGCTTGAATGCATGTTGGAACCATCATGGGCTCTCTTGTGGCCCTCTTGGGAGCTATATTGAAAGACGGGAGCGCTCACCAGACACTTGCGCTGCTGCCGCGGTTTGCCTTCTTCGTCCATTCTCTTTTCCCACCCTCCCCCCTTCAGCTCTCTTTCCCTCCACCCTTCTCTCCTCCCCTCACCCCCTGAACAGGGCAGGCAAGGCAAGCCGAGCCCCGACGACCCTCATCGACGCCGATTCGGAGGGGCGGGGCGGGCCGCGGACAGGAAAGGGAGCAGCACGTTTTCTGTTTTTTTCTCGGCAAGCGCCAGACTGTACATGCGCGCCGCGTGAGGGGCGTGATGGGGCCAGCAGAGCGTTGCGGTAGCATTTCAAGCAAAACTCATGGCGAGGGGGGGGAGGAGGAAATGGAGGAGGGGAAAGATGAGGAGGGAGAGAAGGGAGAGGAGTCGTAGTAGTAGCAGTAGTAGGAAGAGTAGGGAGGAGGAGGAGGAGGTGGAGGAGGAGGAGGAGGAAGATGCGGAGGAGGATGGGAAGGAGGGGCTGAGGAGTTGGAAGGATTGCTACGCTATGCGCATGGCTCAGTGAAGCCTGCGCTCGAAATTTACGCCTGCTCGAGCTCTACAGCGGGGCGAACGCGATCGATCCAAACGAAACTCTGCAGTGAAACGGGATTCCTTATCAGCGTTGCCTCGACGGCCTCGGGAATGAAACCGCCAAAAAGCTTCGCGGCCTCTTCTGGCGTTACCCAAATGCAATCAACAGGAGGCTCGGGGATGAGATCTGGGAGCATCAAGTCGGGCAAGTGCATCGCCACATCAACCATGGGGGGCGCATCAGCCACGGGATTCTGGTGGATCTGCAATGTGTCCCAGATGAGCTGCACTAACCCATCGCCATACATATGCTTGCCGTGCTGGAACACCTGCTGCTTGCCCCCCGCCCCGAGCCGCCGATACATAGCGAACACCTCCGGGCGGGAGGTCCGCAGGCGATACAATCGCATGCGGAGCCTCTCGCATGGTCGGCACCGCCAGATGCATACACCTGCGTGGTTGCGTGCCATGCGATCCGCTGCGCGCACATGCACCAAGTTCGTCTCGATCGGGTCGGCGCAGCGGCTGCACACAGCCATCGCGGAGCCCGGGTTGATGGGGTCTGAGGGCCTGAGTTGACGGGGTCAGAGGTTCGCGCCGCGTCGGCGTCGAGAAAATCAAACCCCGCATCGGGCGGCGATGCGTCGTCGACGCAGCGCGAACCTCCGACCCAATCAACTCAGGCCCCAGATGGGTGGCTGCGAGAACGAACGCAGCCTGAAACTGGGCTTCGAGAATGAACGCAGCCTGGAACTGGCTTGACACAGACAGGCTACGTTAACAACTTGTTTGGGGGGTGGGGCATCTCGAGCGCTTCATTTTTCCTACCGCCTTCTTCCCCTTTCGGGAGGTTTGCGCCATCCTTGCAACGGCGCCTTGCAACTCATCGGGCTCACGCTAGATGGGGGCATTCACTGCAATTGATTCCTCGATGGCCTCCAAGATGGCACCAAGCCTGCGCCCACAAATGATCCCAATGGCATTCCAAAAGACGCCAACCAATCCCCGATCTGCCCCAAGAGGGTTCTAAAAGGCTTTAACCTTCCCACGAGGCTCCGAGGACCTGCCTCACAAAGGCTTCCGTTCAACAGGGCCCCTGCGTTCTCAAAATGATGTCGCCCTCCCCCGATAACAGCACGTCCTCGGGGGTCGCTCCTTGATGGGCTGGTGGAGACACGCGAAGCGCCAGGACTTGGGAGAGGGTGAGCGATACATGCGATAGTGCAGCAGCGCCAAGAGGGGGGGGGATGACGAGGGTAATGATGACGAAGACTTGCCTACTCCGTTTGCCACATTGCCTTCCCTTCTGATCTAGCAGTCCGACAGTCATTGTTCATGTCCACGCTGTGTTTAACCGAACTAGCTTCCCAAACAGAACTTGCATTGCAATGTTGGCCACCGTCCGGGCAGTTGTTTGCGAAGTCGCATCCGAAGTTATTGGAACAGCTCTGGAATTCAAACTTGAACGCTGGACATCGAGAGCTCTGGATTTCCTGGGGAACCTCTTGGGTTCGAGAGCATTGGGTCAACGGCAAGTCCAGGGCCAGGTGGGAAAGTCGGCGCGCGGCCGCGAACATTCTCCAACGTGACGTCTTTCAGTGAGCAAGTGACCGAGCGGGAGATGGAGGACAGGGAGGTGGAGGGGGACGGAGGGGAGGAGGCTGCATGCATTTTGTCGCATCGCAGTCCGAGCTGAGGCTAGCCTTCAGCTCTGACAGAGCGCAAACAAACAAACGTACGTAGCGCTCTAGGCAAACCAAGAGTTCAAAAAGCTGATGCTGCAACTGAGCGATGGTTAAGCTGGGACTCCTCCGCATCGCGCGCCGAGGCTAGCCGTCAAAGCTCGGCGAAACGGAGATCTCAACACGAGGCAACCGCACAAATCTGTACCGTGCGTGCCAAGGTTATGATTTGTTGTGAGCACCAGCTGGACACCTCGCAATCAAAATCAGGAGTTGCTGAGGCAATGCTTGACGAGCAGGCTCCACGTCTCTTCGGGATTGTTGAAACGCTTGCAATTGAACCTCTGATCGACGCGCTCGCCCCTCTTGAGAACGCGCCAGGCAAAAGTACGCGGATCTGTGTACACGCCGAATTGGCCGATACACATGGCTGGTTTTTTCTTGGTGGGGGGGCCAGGGTAGGGGTGCTTGCTGCTGGATGCCGTGCCTGCGCCATGACTCGTGGCGCGGCCCCTGCCGCGGCCCTTGCCCTTCCCCTGGCCGCGGCCCCTGCCCTTCCCCTGCCCGCGGCCCTTGCCGCGGGCATCTGCAGAAACAGGCGATGACTCAGCAGCGGGCCGACGCAAAACACGTTTAGCAGCGGGCGCAGCAGCGGGCCTCCTCAGGTGACTGGAGGTCTCATCCTCGTCGGCAGTCTCCTCGGAGCCCCCCATGTCCTCCGCCTTCGCTGCGCGCGCCTTGCCGAGCTTCGCCTGCAGCCGACTGGCGACGTCCTCGGCAGACGCACTCGCTGCAGGGCGCGGCGCCTCTGCAGGCGAACATGCGTTGGACGGCAGTGCAAGCTGAAGGCCCGGGCTGCCCGACGACTCGCTCGTCGGCGATGCCGATGGCGACGCGGCGGCCGCCCCGTCCATGAGCGCGAACCCGCCCGACCCAGCGCGGCCAACTGGCAGCATGGACTGGCCGACGTCGGGGAGCCCGGGCGCCTGCTGCGGGCGCGCGAAGATCTGCAAGCCAGGAATGCCAGGCTGCTGCCCATGCTGCATCGCGTTCATCCAGTTGGAAGCGAGCGCCTCGGGAGGCCCAACCCCTTGCCTCCTGTAGCCCCAACCCTCCTCCTCCATTATCGTGCCCAAACGGTTTTCCTGAAAACTGTGTTTCCAAAGCTGTCCGAGCTTCCCCATCCCCGCGACCCCCGAAAGGACCTTTCGGGGGGTTGGATCCTCCTTCTCCTTCTCCTCCTCCTCCTCCTCCTCCTCCTCCTTCTCCTCCTCCTCTCCTCCTCCTCTCCTTCTCCTCCTCCTCCTCCTCCTCCTCTTCCTCCTGCACCTCCTCCTCCTCCTCCTTCTCCTCCTCCTCTTCCTTCTCCTTCTCCTCCTCCTCCTCTTCCCCCTCTTCCTCCTCCTTCTCCTCCTCCTCCTCCCGCGCGTCCCCCCATGCGAGCCTGAAGGAAAGCGTGCTGGGATGCCGCGGGGGCAACGCGAGCCCGCTTCGCCCCCGCGGCCACCGCGCTGTGGCTCTGTCTGGCAGGCAACGTCCTCTGAAAAAGACCGAGCTGGACCGAGTCCACCTTCGACGCCACTGGGTGCTTCTCACCGTAGGCGGCCTCGAAGAGCTGCGGGTGAGCAATGCGAAGATCGTTCGGGTTCTGGCCCCACGTGACGATGAATGGCAATGCCCGAGGGGGCGTGACTCCGCGCCAGTACCTCACGGACGTCGTCACGTCCCTCAGGGTGGCCATGGGGTCGATGGACGCAGGCCCACTGGCGTCTCCTGTGGCGAAGGCAAGCAACGCGACGACGTGCACCTTCGTCGGCTCCGATGGGTACATCACGTTGAGCGCCCGCATGCGGAGCATGATGACCTCGAGCTTGCGGCCCATGGCTGTTGCAGGGTCGAGAAGCACTGCCCAATCGTCCTCCGTGAGGTAGTGGTGAATGTGAAGGAACGTTTGGAGTTGTTGCCGATGCGCTGGTGCCACCCCTGTCGTCTGTGCAGCGTTGACGGCCCTGGCGATCGCAGCGCGATCTGCGTCCGGGAAGAGGCTGTTCGCGAGGTCGTTCAAGGCGTCTGCGGCGGCAGCGGTGTCAATGGCACCTTGAGTGGCAATCGCCCTGTCGATGAGAAGGCGCTGCTGCTGAACCGCCGCCTGGAAATCTTGCGATCCAACCGCCATCCCGTTTGCCACGCTCGCCGCCAGATACCTGCTGGCAGCAGCAATCGCCGCTTGCACTGCCATGGCCAAAGCCTCGAAGGTGCAAGCTCGATGGACAGGGCAGTCGGCGCTCCAAGAGATGTTCGAGCATGAATGTTACCAAAAAAGGGAGGAGGAGGAGGAGTAGGAGAAGGAGGAAGAGGAGGAGGAGGAGGAGGAGGAGGATAATCACTTGGAAGGTGGCAGGAGGAAGTGGAGCAAGACGCGGCCCAACGATAAGGGCCCGACAAGAGTGCCCCACAAGCCGTCTGAAACGGACCACATCTGATATTCATGTTCTTTGTCGGGGGTCTCGAGAGGCCCATTGAGTTGTTCTAGTTTCGTGCGCAACATGTTTTGGAAACGAACCCCGTAGGGAATTTGGTTTAGAAGCAAGTCCCTTGCTGGGTGCTGGGCCTTCTTGGGGGCTCCTGGGTGGGGTGCCGAGGCAGAAGGTACCAAGCGCGGCACAGTGACTAGGGGCCGCTCCCATGGGGGGCCTTCCCGTCCCTCCATTATACGCATTTGCGTTCTCCTTCCGCTCTCCTCGTCGTCCTCCTCCCAGTCGTTCTCTGCTTCCTGTGTTTCCCTTCTCCCTCCCGCTCCTCCTCTCCTCCCATCCTCCTCCTGCCGTCCATGCATGGGCTTTTTGTTTTGCGGCAAAAAATGATCTCGATTGCATATACCTCGCGAGGCTAGCCTTCGGCGAAGCAAGACAAAAAGCGGGAGAGCACCTGTCACTTGTAGCGGCATTGATCTATGATAAACACACGCTGACAACCAAACAATGCTTGCTCGAAACGGTTTTCTGGTGGCACTTTAGCTTGCTAAGTGTGGTTTCGACTGCACGCTAGGCTATGTGATCAGGTGGCTCTCTTTCCAACTAGACGCACGCATCAGAACTCCTGTACATCCCAAAAGTGATCAGCAAAGATACGAGATACACATCGACCCCTTTCGATGATTCGCAAATTGCGAACTGGTATCTGCAAGGCCAGTGCCCTTCTGGCCGCGACCTTCCCAAGGATAATCATGCGATGCGGTGTGCGAAAAAAAGGCACTGTCACCCTAGCTTGGCCGAGTGAACTGGGAAATGAGCTTGCGTGCTTTCTTGACCTCAGCGTTGGCACGCTGCTGCTGCTCTCTGCGTGAAAGCGGCTTGCCTCCGCCCGGGGATTTCCCTGCAGATTCGAAGAGGGCGCGGATGCGCTTGGCCTCCGACACAGAGGCAGCGCAGTCCCCGGGCGGCAAAAGAACAGACGACTCTGCCAAATCCGCCTGCCGCCGTCAGGCAGGTACATGAGCTCAAGCAGGAACATGCCGCCCAAGCGGGCATACCTTTTATAAGTTTCAAGCATTTGAATGTAGCACATACAAGTAACCATGATTGGGCGGCGGATCTGCGAAGCATTGGGATCACCGTGAAGCTCGCGAGCTTTAGTTAAAAGCGGGGCGACTGCTGCAATGACCATCGGCGCGGGGTACGCATTTCCCGACG